GCACACTGAATGCACGCACAGAGGAAGAAAGAGAAAGTGAGAGAGAGTGAGAGAGTGAGAGTGAGAATGAGAGAGAGAGAGAGAGAGAGAGAGAGAGAGAGAGAGAGAGAGAAAGAGAAAGAGAAAGTGATAAAAAAAAAAAAAAACAAGTAAATAACGACGATAACGATGATTTCGTTGCGATGGGGGTTGCTACCCTTTTTCACGTGATGCAACAGTTAATATATGGCGAACTAATTATTTATCGATAAACAAAGAAAAATGGAAATAACACGTTAACATTGTTTTTGAACGCAAACGACATTATTATAGATGTTAATTCGAGATAAAAATAAATCGATCGATTTAGCGATACTATACATCGATATACATATATATATATATATATATTTACATATATATATATGTATGTATACATATGTGTGCGTGCGTGCGTGTGTGTGTGTATGTATCAATAGTAAGACTTTTTAGGGTTCCTTAAATCGATGTTTACACAAAGAGAGAGACATAAGTACACATTATCTATCGAGAAGGGTGGCTGATTTTTTTTTCAAACGCGTGACGAAAACTTGGAATTTTTTTTTATAAATAAATAAATGAAAATAATGAAAAAAAGGAGATACACATTGTTTTAAAAAATTTTTACGTTTTATCTCTCTTAATGGTCCGTTTAACGCAATTTTTTTTCCAAGTTATCGTCGCGAGATCGAATTAAGAAAACAGCGGAAGTGCCTTCCCCCTGCACTCATAAAACACAACATTATTATACATACATCGGAAACACAGTGACGCGTGATCCAAGAACATTTTAATTCGTGACACGTATAAATGAAGCACTTATTACTACTATATAATACTTACATGATAATATAAATATATATATATATATATACGATTATATTTGTATATTATACCAGGTAAATTATATTAAGATTTATGTATTATTAATGTTGCATTTTAAATTATCGTGCAACGAAAGTGAAAAAGAAAAAATAAACAAGTAAAAGTAAATGACATATTTCACAAAGTAAAGAAGTAAGAGCAAAAATTTATTTTGTGAACTATGTGGGAAGTATGCATATATATACACATATATATATATATTATATTATTTACACAAACACATAAACATACGAACATGTACACACACACACACACACACACACATATATATATATATACACTCATAATTATAACGAAGAGAAAGAACATTTTATGATATGATGATATGATGACTACTTATATACATAAAGAAAGTAGTATTTATTATTGTGTACTGTCCCTAATTCTTCATGTACATTGTTATATATGTATACACAGAGCGCGTGTGTATGTGTATATCTATATATATATATATATATGTATATTTATATATATATGTATATATATACACGCGCGCACCCACATTCTCACGCATATGTATAATATCTATATATCGGATACATTTACGTACGACCCTGGGAATGCAGATGCAAATATCAGCGCATTCATTATACCTTACATGGTATAATAAAGTCGACTATGCACTTACGTATAGATATATAATACGTATACATATACGTACATTTCTCTCTCTCTATATATAATAATAATAATATTAATAATAATTAAAGTAAAAATCATAATAATTAATAATTAATAATTAATAATTAATAATTAATAATTAATAATAATAATAATATATAGTGTCTATATACGGCAAAAGAGTAGAACCACCACATTGAGAGAATTGACGTGTGTATTTCGTTCAGTTCATTAATGAAAACGAGTTATATACCGAGAAAAGAAAAGAAAAAACAAAAAAAAAAATGAATGAAAAACAGAAAAAGAAAGAGGAAAAAATTTTGAAAAAATTTGACAAGAAACATTGTGTGTAATTAGCCTTGCGCCGACTCGATCGATCCGAGTCCACGAAGATCTCGAATGCGTTTTTGCGCATGCACGCTCACGGGGTTTGTCAAGGAGTCAGCCAGTATTTGTAATAATAATGCTTGAGAAATGCATGAATATTTGTTTTATTAATGCTTCTTCTTATTTCATCTCTTTCTATCGACAAAATGGATCTTCCCTGAACAATTTGCTAATCCCCCACCTCGCCCCCTATGTAATATTTATATATTTACATATATATATGTATACATATATCTTATATACATATATGTATCGTGTATTTACTCAATATTGCGCCCATTATTGCTCACCGTCTTTAACCTTGCTTCCTGCTTCCCTTTGTTTCTTATTTTCTCTCTCTCTCTCTCTCTCTCTCTTTCTCTCATTCTTTTTCTCTCTCTCTCTCTTTCTATATATATATATATATATATATATATATATATATATATATACACATATACTTTTATTTATGTATTATTTATATTATTTATCTTATTTACTTGTCTTATTTTATTTTAATTTTTACTTGTCATCATCTTCATTATATTAGATAATCGTTTACGAAATATATATGTTTGACACTATCGTGCGCTTGTAATACTATACTTAC